AGCTCTGCTGCTCTTTGGAGTCTTCATCTGGTCCTTAAAATGCTCAACAAACACTTTGTTATTGATACTTTAGGTCTCTGTCCGTATGGAGGCATTGAATAAGGAGTCTAAGAAATAAGTAAGATTTTGCTCTGGGTTTGGTGTGTTAGAATCAGAATGGTTTGGGTTGGAAGGGACCTTAAAGATCATCCAGTGTTTTATTTATTTTATTTTATACAAATATTAATATATGTGTATATATATATATATATATTGTATTTTTAATAATTTTATTCTTTTTGATTTTTGATTCTTTTACTTACAATATTTTCTTCTGCTGCTGGAAGGGCTCTGTGCAAAGGAGGCTGGAGGGGACAGGTGTCAGCTGCCAGGTGATGCCTGCAGAGCTATGCTGGTCGAGCCCTTGGTGACCTCCAGCACTCGCTTGGCTCAGCTGAAGGGATGGGAAGAACAAAACCTTTGCTTTCCAGGGAAATTTGAGCCTTTTAAAAGCTTCACTCTGGTGGCATCAAAGCTGTCACTGTGTGTGTAGGGTGAAAGCTTCCGTGGGGATGTGAAGGCAGCACAACCGGAGTGCTCCTGGCCATGCTCTGAAATGGGGACCCCTCCCCACAGCCCTGCTCCCCCAGCAGATCCACTCAGGGGATCTGGGATTCCCTTTCCCCTTGCAGAGCTGACCTGTGGGGATCTGAGCTGACAAACATTAAATCTTGAGCTGGCAGAGGGCAGGGTTGGATGGGATATGGGGAAGGAATTCCTGGCTGCCCCTGGATTCCTGGAAGTGTCCAAGGACTTGGAGCAGGCTGGGATGGTGGAAGGACAGATCAGAAGCAGAAAGATTGGCTGTGAGTAGCAGGAGAAGTCCCTTTGCAACAAAAAGAGTGAGAGGAAGGAAGGAAAGAAGGAAGGAAGGAAGGAAAAGCCTTAATGCTGTCCTACAATAGATTTATTTAGGTTTTGTGGGTGGTGGATTTTTTTTAAAGGAACAAGTGTTGGAGCCAATCCCAAAGCAGCTCCGAAGGTTCTGACTTGTCACATTTCTGGTCTCTGAGCTGAAACCCTTCCAGGGTTACACAACAATGACTAAAACTGGAAACCTTTCAGATCATTTCCAAAATGAAGCAGGAAACTGAGGTGATTGCTAAAGCAAGGCTGGAGAGAGAGAAACATCACTTCTGTGTGTGGGGGTGAGAGCGAGCACCCAATTCAGTCTGGAACTTTGGGGTTGTTTTCTTTTTGATCTGATCTCGGAACAGAATTATCCTGGAGCCCAGATCTTCACATTGTTTTGCTTAATGTTTTACAAACAGGCTGTTGAGTGAAGTTGTCACCGAACAAAAATTCACCCCTATTGTTTACACAATGGGCAAAGGCAGTCATAAAAGGGGTGTAGCAGCAATTTGTTAGGTATTAGGTTACGGTGCAAGAGGGATTATCCTCACAAAACACTGAGCCCTAAACTGCAAATATCGGGATTAAATTGACAATTACATCCAGGGATGCTGGAGGCTTTGCACTGACTGTTCTGAGCCAGCTGACAGGAGCTCGAGTTCTTCTGGCACAGCTGCTCTGCTCGAGAGGAGCTACATGAAAATATAAATATGATAAGAAAAATCTGCTCCTGCTGCTCTTTGCTTTGTGGCAACTCCTCACCGGGTAAAAACAGGTGCTGGGTTTGTTCCTGGCTCTGCCACTGCACTCCTTTGTGACCTTTGGAATTCAGGAATTTCTGATTGGGGTGGAATTTTTAAAGTATATCAGTTTGGGGGCTCAGTGTAGAGACCCCTGAACACAGATCTCTGGAGCAGTTGTATCTGTATCTGTATCTGATACAGCAGTTCTGTATCTACCCTGAGCATTTCAAGATCCAACACAGCAAAATCCTGGCTTAGATAATTAAGAATTATTCTGGTTTCTGAACTCAGATATTCTTTAGAACATCTCTCTGCCATTTACAGAACATCTCTCTGCCATTTACCCTAAAGAAACCTTTCGAAATTTCTGTTTCTGCCTTCCTACCACCCTGCCTGGCTTTGCTGCTTTATTTTTATCTCTGACAAACTTTCATTTGAAGGGGGAAACGCATTTATAAGAACAGAGAGCAGAAATACTGCAAACTTCAGCTGTGCTGCAATGCAAGGGGAGGCTCATGATGTGCACAAACATGCCCAGAAATCCAGGAAAAAGCCCACAGAAAGTAAAAGCAAGACAGAAAAGGGGGAGGGTTTATATATCAGTGTTAGAGGAAGGTGAAAACGCTTCCTGGCAACATCTGAGAGTCATTTGCAACAACAGATCCCTGAGCTTTAGTGAGTAGAGAATGTTTTTAAATCCTCCCCCACCCCCTTTGTTAATCTTTAGCAGGTAACAGGACCTCTCATGGGATCGTGGGGCTTTCTTAGGGATGTGTCAAATATTTCCAGTTTGGAAAATCAGATTTTTGAAATGTCTCTAGGGTTGAAGGTCACTGGTTTGGGACTCTGTGGTCTTTGGTAATAATTTGGTAATAATGGGATTCTTTGAGCATTCTGCAGAAGTCAGAGTGCCTCAGCAGAGGGAGGAAGGAACATCTGGGTTCCCAAACTCTTGTCTGGATCAGGGAAATCACATGTCTGTTCCATGGTGTCCCAGGAATGAGGGACAGATCCTAATCCTGATTTACACCATCCAGGAACTCTCAAGGGTGGGTCTTTGCACCTGAATGTGCTGAGCAACATCAATGTCAGAGAGTTATTAAACATGATGCATGATTATTAATTATTATGATTATTATTGCACTTCAGAGACTTGAAAGGGAGGCCTTGAAAAGTGCAGGTTTGGATTATGTTTGAGCGCACCCAAAATACTGAGCAACATTTTTTGATGCTTTGAATATTGAGTTGGGAGGGATGAAGGATCATCGAGTCCATCTTCTGGCCCTGACACCCCAAAATCCCACCCTGGGCATCCCTGGAGCGCTGTCCAAACCCTCCTGGAGCTCCGGCAGCCTCGGGAATGTCACCATTCCCTGGGGAGCCTGGGCAGTGCCAGCACCTCTGGGGGAAGAACCTCTCCCTAAAATCCATCCCCATCCCCTGACACAGCTCCAGCATTCCCTGGTCCCTGTCAGAGAGCTGCCCCTCAACACAAAGCCCTACAAATGTTTTTATTTAAGATCATATTGGCTCCTGATTACTCCATTTTCACACCTCACATTATGAGGTGCTTAACGAAAACACCAAAAAAAAACCCAACCCTCAACAGTTTCCAGTTTTTGTTTGTTGTCAAACACGACTTTGAAAATGTTGGGTCAAGCATCTTCAATAGAGCAGGCTGCACTGTTTGTTTAAAACTCAGAGTAAAGCAAGTCATATGAATGTTTCCAAAGACCCTATTCCAAGAAGTATTTTTGGAAACATTAATGTTGTGTTTTTTAATGAAGGCCACATTCTGAGGCTACGACACCATATGTCACATTCATTTCTGGACTGGAAAAAAAAAAAAAAAGGAAAAAAAAAAAAAAGAGAAAAAAAAAAAGAAATGGAAACTATGTTTGGCTTTTAAGTGTTTTTGGATGAATGTCTCTGCATGCTTGTCATGGTTCCTTGGATGAGGAGAGAGTTTTTGGGCTGTTAATCCAGTCCATCCTATATATTTTACACCCCATGGGCCTGACTCTGCTCTGCCTGGAAGTGTGTGCAGTCATTTCTGCTCAGGCAAAAGGAGCAAAGACCTGAGGAAAAGAATTCCCTCAGGAAAGCTGTTTTTTTTTCTGAAATTCGATTTTCTTTAATTCATTTTCCATGGATTTCTTGGCTCCATTGAAAACCTACATCCGAACTCTGAAACCAGCTTAAAAATGGGAAAAGAGCTTGTCATTTTTCCATCAAAAACTTGCAGTTTCTGGAAGAATAGTGACAGGTTTCCCACAAAAATATTAGCTGTTGTTTTTTGGTTTTTTCCCCTTCAGGAATATCAGTTAGAAGCATGAAATTAGCAAAAAATTGGAATTTTTCTGCTGTGTCCCCATCACTTCTGACTGGTTTGTGTGTTAGTGGTTGGGATGTTGTGGAATGAGCTGGAGACCTGCAGGAAAAGGATTTGCCTTTTCTAAATTACATGTTTTTTATTGGATTCCAGGTGATAAGGTCTCAATTTCTAACATAATTCTTGTTCTTGGTCACTAAATATGGCCCAGGACTGCTCAGTTCTTCTCTGTTCTGACAGAGGAATCTCCTAATCCACATCACTTCCTGAATTTGTGTCACCCACAACTTCCATTAACACCCTCCGTGTTTGTTTCAAACTCATTAATCAAGATTTAAATATTTTTGGCAGCCGGATATTTTTTTGTTTGCTTTAAGGAAGGATTTCAGAGGCTTTCCAGGACCTCAGAGTGGTTTCTTTTTTTCATTTGAAATGTAAATAATTTTCTCCAAATTGAACAAACATGTCTCTGCAGCACCAGCTCAGTCCACTTCACAAGAGCAGGTTTTTCTGGGCAATGCTAGAAGATAAATAATGTTTTGTTCATGTGTTTGATACATTTTTTGGTTAAAACACACCAGCACTGAATTTCCCTGCCCATGTGACTGAAGTTTTAACTCTAAATAAGGGATATCCCCATTTTTTTTTTATTCTTTCTAATGGAAGAAAATGCAGAAAATTGCAAAAAGCAATTAATTACCTCCAATATTTGGCCAAATTTAAGTGTTTTCTGCCATTTGTGACTGCTCAGGGGAGCTCATCCTGCTTTTAATCTTGCTTCATGGGATCATTAAAGGAGTTACTCACAATAGGGTCTCCACTCCAAAAAAAGGTTTTGATTTATTTTTTCATCAAATTTTAGGGCTGACAAGGACATTTCTAACTGGTTGAATTTGTAGCTGTCTCATATTTCCAGGCCTGGTCATGGATGTCACAGCCTGTCCCCTTCCAAAAATTACCCATGATGGTCACGGAGCAAATGGGACCAGATCTGGAAATTCAAATAAAAACGGACTTTCTCCTTTATTTCATAGATTTCCAATGAACAAAGAAAACAACCCCTGGCACCTTCTGTAAGCTGAGGCAGAGATGAGGAAGATGAATGACCAAAGTGGCTGCTACAGGCCGGTAAATATCCAGGGAAACAAGGTCAGTTACCGCGGCGCCTGTCGGGAAAGCCCGGAAAAGGAGGTGAAAAGGCTGCAGAAGAGGTTTCTCCACAAGGATGGCAGCTGCAACGTCTACTTCAAGCACATCTTTGGGGAGTGGGAGAGCTACGTGGTGGACATCTTCACCACGCTGGTGGACATCAAGTGGCGCCACATGTTTGTGATTTTCTCGCTGTCCTACGTGCTCTCGTGGCTGTTCTTCGGCCTGGTGTTCTGGCTGATTGCCGTCCAGCACGGGGACCTGTTCAGCGACGAGGAGGTCACCCCCTGCGTGGCAAACGTGCACAGCTTCACGGGAGCCTTCCTGTTCTCCCTGGAAACGCAGACCACCATCGGGTACGGCTACCGCTGCGTGACCGAGGAGTGCTCGCTCGCCATCCTCATGGTGATCCTGCAGTCGGTGCTGAGCTGCATCATCGACACCTTCATCATCGGGGCGGCCTTGGCCAAGATGGCCACGGCCCGCAAGAGGGCCCAGACCATCCGTTTCAGCTACTACGCCGTGGTTGGGCTGAGGGATGGCAAATTCTGCCTGATGTGGCGCATCGGGGACTTCCGGCCCAACCACATGGTGGAGGGCTCGGTGCGCGCGCAGCTGCTGCGCTACAGGGAGGACAAGGAGGGGAGGATGACCATGGAGTACCGGGACCTGAAGCTGCTCAACGACCAGATCATACTGGTCACACCAGTCACCGTTGTCCACGAGATCGACAGCGACAGCCCCTTGTACGGCCTGGACCGCAAAGCCCTGGCCAAGGACAACTTTGAGATCTTGGTGACCTTCGTCTACACGGGTGACTCCACGGGGACTTCCCACCAGTCGCGGAGCTCCTACGTGCCCAGAGAGATCCTGTGGGGCCACAGGTTCAACGATGTCCTGCACGTCAAGAAGAAGTACTACAAGGTGGACTGCCTGCAGTTCGAGGAGACCACGGAGGTGTACGCCCCTCACTGCAGCGCCATGCAGCTGGAGCGCAAGGAGCAGGAGTGGAACCGCGCCGAGAAGACGCGGGAGAAGCAAGCGGAGAAGCCAGCCCTGGAAATCAAGTCCAACCAAAAGTCCTTCAGCGCTGTTGCCCTCGTCACCAGTTGTGAGGATCCTGAAGAGCCAGTGACAGCTTCCAGCCAGCCTCCTGGAGAGGTTTCCTACAGGAAAGCTGCTGTGACCTTGAGCAGGCTCTCCATAGAGTCCCAAATCTGACTTTCCCTGCTGTTAAAGCCCCTCCCAACAATTCCTCCCCTCGTGGCTCCTCGAACACAGACAGCAGGCTCGTGTGCAGCAGTATTTATGTCCCAGACCTCGTGGCCACGCTGTCACACACCGTCACACCCTGCTGGGCTGCGGGGACAGCTCTGCGCTGCGGGAACGAGGGAGCAGCTTCCACTTGGGATGTCCAGAGAGCCCCTGCACTGGAGCAAACCCTGGTGAACTTCCTTCCCCTGCAGGGACCAGGGCTGGCCGTGCCCAGAGATGCAGAACAACCTCGGCAGGGCACACTAACCATGCCCTGTGCCCTCTGGGGAGGGGTTTCCAAGCTGCCTCGTTGGTTTGGAAAGCCCATTCCAGCCCCTCCAGGAGGTTCTGGAGCTCCATTATCCCAACAAGTGATTCCTCAGATCCAGCCTCATCCCAGAGCTCCTCTGGGGAATCCGTGGGGCCGTTCTTTGTAAGACAAAGGAATGACTGACCCCAGTGCTCCTGGGTGGCTTTGGACACCTGCTCACATCCTGCCCAGTCCTGTGGGACCCAGAGTGGGATCCTGGAGAGCTTTCATCCCTAATCATGAACCATTCCCTGAGGCGCTGTTCCCTCAGCAGCTGGAGGGATGCAGGAGGTCAAAAAATAAAAAAAAAATCAAAACAAGACCTCTGGTTTTAAATCAGCAGAATCAGATTGAGCCTTGAGGAGGAGATCATGTCTGGAGTGATCTGTGCAGTATTTGATATCAAATCCTCTTTCATTTCATTTCGCTTTTCTTTTCAGCGTGTTGCACTTCCTTGCAAAGACAAAGATCAATCTGGAGAGCAAACAGGGTGATTTTGTCATAATGAAAAGTGCTTGTCTCAGATGGCTGTGTTAAAATGATCCTTCACAAGAAATCCAACAACTCCGACTCAAACTGGGGGGAAAAAAAAGGAAAACATTGATGCTCTGAAGGTGTCTGTGACGTGGAAGTTCCGTGCTCTGCACGTCTCTGTAATTATCCAGTGAGCAATGCCTCATCATGCTCTTGCCCCTGATGATTGCAGTTCATTTGCGTTGTGTTTAATTACCCTGCAAACGTAAAATAATCATATCGGAGTTGCTGGGGTTGAGCTCACCTGACCTTAGCAGCAACGAAATTCAGTGTTTGCCTGCTCTCTGTGGTTCCTGGAACTCTTCAGTCTCCACAGGAGAGTTCACTCCACCTTCCTCTGGTTTTTCAGGATGAGTTTATCCTGGAAATGTTCATCCCTCTCCATTTATTGCTGACGGAGATGAAACGACTGCTGTGGAAATGCTGGCTAACTTTAGGCTGCTAAAATTAGGTCTGACGAGTCATTCACATCATTCTGACTAATTAATTGGGCTTTTATGAGCTCATCACGTTTAATGAAGAAAAAAATAGCCTGCTAAGAGGCTTTTTTTTCTTTTTTTCTTTTTTTTCCCCCCCCTGCAATTTACTCCATGTAGTAGTAGGATTGCTGGATTATTTCAATGTATTTCTCTTTTGCTAGCACTTGTCTCTGGATAAACATGATCCCTTTAGGTAAAGCTGAAGCCTGGGGGGTGTTAGTTATTCCAAAACTCATTAATTAGCCCATTTTATATGCTGATTCATCAGCAGCAACCACTTATAAGTGCAGTAAAAACCATCTTGTTGTATCCTGGATTTAAACACTGGCAGACATGGGGGAAATAGTCTAGAAAAAAATGGAAAGGAATGTAGGAAAATGTGGAAGAGTCTCAGCACTTCTGTGGTGTTGGAAAAAACACCATTGGGATTGAATAAAATAGAATATCACCTTCCAGACATGGGAATTAACCCTTCCACTCCCCTCAGATCCTGGCTGGGATGCTTTTATTTAATGCTGGGCACAACTTTTTGGGAAAGATGTGGAGAAATTGGAAGGGAATGGGGAGATGTGGAAAAGCTGTCGGTGAGGAAGAAGGGAAATGGCCTAAAAAGGGCCCTAAAAAGGGTTGGGAGGCAAAGAGCTCTCAAACACAGAAATTGCATTGGGAGAGAGGGAAATCTGGGGCTGGGAGAGGATGGGACAGGAAAAAATGGGATTACACTGGGGGAAAAATAATTAGGAAATGCATAACGAGGGTGAGGGTGACAGAGATGAGGGTTAACCTCTGTGGTGGCTCTGGGGAGCCTGGTGGAGGAGGAAACAGTGAAAGAAAGGCCACCCTGGAGCTTCCCAAGCCGTGGTTTCCACACATGGAATGTCCCACATGGACACAGCTGCTGCTCTCACCCTCCGTGTTCACCTCATCCCAGAGTGACGGCACCCAGAGGTGAGATATCGCTGAGATAAGTGACCAAAACCCCCACATTCCTTCCCCAGGTGCCAATTCCAGGTGCTGGCTGCCACAGCAGCTCCCCTGAGGAGCTGGGGAGCTCAGCTGCCTTCCCTTCCCCAAGCTCTCCTCCCTGGGAGCCTCCGGACAGAAATTCTTCCTCTGGAAAGGCTTTGCTGGAAGTGAAAGCACCGGGAGTCTGATTTGGGGATTTGTCCTGTGGCTTTTGGCACAGAGAGATGCAAATAATAAATGCAAATATGTGAGTATGGCTGGTAAGGTGTGCCTGGCTCAGCTGAGGAGGGCCAGGAAGAAACTTCTCCCCTGGGCATGTTAATTCATAAAAAGCTGCTTTATATTTTCTTCTACTTTTATCTCCAACCTCTGATCCCAGCCCGTGCTGGAGAACCACTGCTCTCAACCAGCCTGGCTTTTTTCTCTTTGCTACTTTAATTTCATTTATCCCAGTACAAACACGATGTATAATAATGATGAATAGCAAAGCATGCAGTTATTTTTATTTTTATTTTTTAAATGAATAAAAACATCGAAATAAAGAACATTCCTCTGCCACACACCTTGTGAGAGCACATTGGGCTTTTCTACTCTTCAGCTAGAGGTTTTAAGCTTCCATATCCAGTTTCTCTGGGCAAGCTGTGCCAGGATCTCACCGCCTTCACAGGGAATTTTTTGCTAATTTCTCATCTGTCCCTGCCCTCTGGCACTGGGAGCCATTCCCTGTGTCCTGTCCCTCCATCCCTTGTCCCCAGTCCCTCTCCAGCTCTCCCTGGAATCTTCTCCTCTCCAGGTTTATATTTAGGCAGGCCTAAACTGCCTAGAGCCAGTTCTTAATCCTTCCTCCCTAGGAAAGGACCTAGGAAAGGCTCCTGCAGGACACTGGACAGTGGAAAAATAGGATAAATAGGATAAATAGGATAAATAGGATAAATAGGATAAATGAGAGGGAGACTCTTCCTCCCTCATCTGCTCTTTCTCAGTGAGAACTTCCCAGGGTTTATTTTTCATTGCCATTGTAGGCCTGAGCAATAAAAAATCAACCAAGACTCCCAAAAGTAACAACACGTGCATCCCCCAGCAGGAACACCGACCTGAGCCTCCAGTCATTCCCAATTAATTGGAGCAGAATTCCCACCAGCCCAAAGGGAAGGACCTGGGGATATTTTGGGCCGTTCCTTGGTGAAACAACAGGGCCCTCCTGCTCTTCCAGAGCCTTGCAGGTCTCCTTGGGGCTTCCCAAAGCCAATTCCTGGAGCTGAGGAACAGCAGCTCCTTCCCAGCCACTGCTGAGAGGCAGGAATTGGAATTTCTGTGTGAAAGTTGCTCACCCCGTCCCCGACCTTTCCACAAAATTTACCAGCTGAAGCAAAATTCTACACAACAAAGAGCAAACACAAACCACCCTGCGCTGGCCTCCTGACTCATGGTGAAAATTTCACCCTGGTTATTTTCCCTTGGAAAGCAGCACCGTTGTTCCGGGTCAAGATTAATTTATGTCAAAGGGGGTATAATAAGAGATTATTATATCATTTATTTTTCCAGCTTTGCTCACCACCATTCATTAGGGCAGCTGGCATCTCCTCCCCCGTTATCATGTGTCATTTAGTGCATACTTTTTGTGAAGTTGGGTTTCAGATGTGGGACAGGATATTATCCCCTTGTTTATCCCTTGTTTCTCACGGGCTGTGCAGGAGGTCTGAGCTCACTTCAGGAAACAGCAGGTACCTTTCAGGGCATCGGAAGTGTTGTGTAGGTGAAAAAAAAAAAATAAAAAATGCTTCTAAGCCTTTTTTTTGTCTCTTAAATCTTGGGTGGTTGGAGCTGGGAACCTGCAAACAGGAGGAGTTGGTGTCTGTGGTGGGCAGGAGAGGCCCAAAGCAGGGAAAAGGAAGAAGCATCTGACAACAGAGTCACTTGCAGGCAGACAGGGGAGGTGTGAGACATGAGCAGGCTGAAACAAGAAGCTGAAAGTTTTCATCTGGGCTGAAAATTGTGGGTCGGTGTTTTCATGGATGGGGCTTAAAAATCACAGTGCAGGAGCTGCCTCCAGGACTCAGAGGTTTTTGTGAGGTCTGGTGGCTGAGGAGCTGCTGGGGATGGACACAAAGGCAGAGTGAGGATGGGCAGTTCTGGCTGGGGCTCCCTGGGAAGCCAGGAGGGTTTGGAGCCCTGATATCGACACCTCCCAATGTTTTCTTCAGGACAGGCAACACAAAGTCACCTTGGACTGTCAAAAACGCACAGGGATTTCCCACCCAGGTGTGTCAGGGGCCCGTGGAATGGTTTGGGATGGAAGGGAGCTCAAAGCTCATCCAGTGGCACCCCTGCCATGGCAGGGACACCTCCCACACAGCAGGCTGCTCCAGCCTGGCCTTGGACACTGCCAGGGATCCAGGGGCAGCCGCAGCTCATGGGGGAGTTTCTCCCAAGCACCTCATCCAAATCTCCCCTCTTTCAGCTTCAAACCATTGCCCCTTTTCCTAGCACTGTCTCCCCACCCAACAAACCACTCTCCCCATTGGTGGCCATCCCCCTTTAGAGTCTGGACCAATCCCAATCCCCATCCCGATCCCGACACCAATCCTGATCCTGATCCCAGTCCTGATTCCTATCAATCTGATCCCAATCCCCATCCGTGTCCTGATCCTGATCTTGATCCCCACCTCAATCCTGATCCCGATCCTGATCCTGATCCCCATCCTGATTTCGGTCCTGATCCCAATCCTTATCAATCCTATTCCTATCGCCATCCCCATCCCAATCCCCATCCCAATACCAGTCCTCATCCCGATCCCGATCCCGATCCCCATCCTGATCCCGGTCCCGGTCCCGATCCCGATCCCGATCCCGATCCCAATCCCGATCCCGATCCCGATCCCTGTCCCGATCCCGATCCCGATCCCGATCCCCATCCCGATCCCGATCCCGATCCCTGTCCCGATCCCGATCCCGGTCCCGATCCCTGTCCCGATCCCCATCCCGATCCCCATCCCGATCCCCATCCCGATCCCCATCCCGATCCCCATCCCCAT